CCCACAGACGGCGCCAGTGTTGAGGTTTATTCCTTCAACCCGTGGACCCAACACGTAAGCCCAAAGGTTTCGAATGGAGTGGGTGTATGGTTATCTAGCCCAACAACTATTAGATGAATCAGGAAACAAGAGTAATAGCAGGCAATGTAAATAGGTATTATTAACTTCGTAATAACTCCCCTAAGTACAATCTACTTGCTAACAAAGGCACGTCGGCCGTTCGTCTTACAAGGCAGTTAGAAATGCTGCGAGTAAGAATGCTGAAGCTAGTATGCTAAGAATAGAAAGTTGCCAACCCTTTACAATGGAATAAATGCTTCTATTTATACCCGCCAATGGGCAGGTGGCTGTAGTGATGTGGCAGCCTGTGGACCGCTGGTGTCCCAACTACCAAATCTTTAGCATTAAATGCACTTCCCGCCAGAATCTAGGTTTCCCGCCGGATTAGTGGGGACGTTCGTCCACCGGAAAGTGAGTTGGATTGCTCCAAGGGACCCTTGGGAGATATCGGCTGTTCGTCTCCTGGCCTTGATGGATACTCACCATGCGGACTGGGTTTCCCCCGATGACCGCAGGCTTGCTCTGTGGACGTTCGTCGCCATCCCTGGTGGCCCGTGGTTCTGCTCCTTGTCCCTGCATAGACGTTCGTCGGGATGAGCTGCTGGGCCTGAGTCCTCCAACACCAGACGTTCGTCCATCCTCAGGGAACATGGGCCTGTGGGCTGGCCTAGTGTCCTAACCGGACGTTCGTCTGGCAAGATGGGTTAGTGGGCCGGACCTCGGCTTGGGCCCTTAACCCAACACCACCTTTTCTTTGTTACCAAAAAATTGCCAATTCAACCTCACAGACGAAGCCAGTCTTTGCCTCTTTGGCTTGTGGTGTCAAATGATACCACTGAAATTATAACATTAATGTATATTACACACACACACATAGAGATTGAAATTGTTGAAATTGGCACCACTATATATTTTCCTAAAACAGGAATAAATTATTGTAATTTTGAAATAGTATTACCATATTTTGGCATTACGTGAGATAAATAAGACAATATCATTGACAGTGTTTGACTATTTTCTAAGCACAATAATAATAAGTGTAAATATAGTACTCCTAATTTCAAATTCACATTAATTGCACTCTTGTTTAAGACAATTTATGTTATAATATTACTTTGACATCACTCATAAAAAAAATACAATGATCATATGTACTAGTGTACTACTACCACTACAGAGTAAAGTGAAGCTAGTAGCATGTTGGAAGGGATGGGTTGGCTACAAGTGTAATGAGAAGACACCAATTGATTTGTAGAAAAAACATCTATGCCCACCATGGAGCTTCGCCCGTTCTGAAATCAGTCTCAACCCAGGGAATGAACACTACCTTATCATCATCAATGTCTGCATGAGCTAAGGCCAAGGACTGTTGCAGTAAAAGAGATGGTGGTTCACACAATGAATGAAGGGATAAATGATACAGATAATGTGTAGGAGGATTTGGGGGGAGGCATACCAAAGGAGCTGGCCCTCGAACAACTTTGCCTTGGTTGTCGTATTGAGAGCCATGGCAAGGACACATGAATTTGTTCTCGGCAGCATTCCAAGGAACCACACAGCCCAGGTGGGTGCAAACCGCATTGATGCCATACGTTGCTAGTGTCCCATCATTCTCCACAACTAGGTATGTTGGGTCTCCCTATTTAATCCATTCCACCGCCCATCATCACATTTAATCAAACTATTCTCCTCAAAGTGACGAGCGGTGGTACGCCATCAATGCCTAGGGGTTTGTTTGGTGACATCTCATGTACTTATCATGTTTTCAGAAATTATGGTTTATATGTTTAAACATGATTTATTTCCTAATAATAAAAAGATGTGCTTTTTATTATGTTTTCAGAAATTATGGTTTATATGAATTCCATGTACGTTAATAAAACACGAAGATATTTCTAATAGTTTTTGAATTCAAACAAATAAACTATTTTATCAGGTGATCATTCATACAAAAATACCAACTAAAAAGAAATACACAATGAAGGAGATTTTTTAGCAAGTCTTGATTAACTTTATTGCAGAGCCTCGTGTGATGTATTTGTTTTTTACTTCAAGGGCAAATCCAACTTCATTAAAAAAACAGATCTCAATAAAGCTGGATAAATAAAATTGACTGACCAAGAATCATCTCTACTACCTTCAATCCCTGAGTGAGGGTACGATTCCCAGGTCCATGGGACTTTAGCCACTCAGAAGCAATGACGTCATTCCCTATGGCATCCTTGGCAATGATGCCGCCACTTCCACCTCCTGACCTGATCTCAGTGGATGTAAAATATGTTTATGATTATCATTAAAAACTGAAACAATATCTCATGCTTGCAACACCAGAACAATAGGAAAACAGTGTGGCCGCATAATAAAAGCCCAATGTGCATGATGTACTCACGCCTCCTATTCTCTTACATTCTCTTCTACATTGGGTGTTGATCACATATTATTATACTAACTAATGCAAGCTCATGCTTGCAACACCAGAACAATAGAAAAACAGTGTGGCCGCATAGTGAAAAGCCAAATGTGCATGATGTGCTCAATCCCCCTCTTCTCTTGCATTCTCTTCTACACTGGGTGTTGATCACATATTATTATATTAATGGAATCCCCCTCTCTCTCTCTTTCTCAGTGAACCAAATGCCCCTCCTATCAACAACCATATGGCATCCCCAATTATACTAACTTCACTGTATGATATTAAAATGAATAGGATAATCATTCTTCTTTCCCTATTACATGTATTGTATTCACTGTGAATACAAGACTAATACTCTTTACTATTATTATTACTCAGTGTTTGGGTTGTTGGTGTACAAGCGCAATGACACTAATTTATTTTTATTGTTTACAGTATTACTTTGGTAGTTCATATGTATTAGGAAACAATCCAAATGCTATGACCAAGCTAGTTCTTGAGCCAGTTGTATTATAGATTATTACATTTACTCATACACTATAAAATGTGAAACAAGAATGATTCTTTATTATCTTTTACAATGAAACTCTTGTCATAATTCATGAATACAATACAAAAGAGTTCACACATTATTTAAGTATGACTTACCAAGTACACAATTTGATTCCATAAACCCCTACAAGTTTCAATCTTTAAATCTCACAGCACAAAAAAAAACTCACCCAGGAGGTACAAAGAAGGATGCGTAAGGTACCACCAACGCAGCAGTGGGGAGAGAAATGGCACCCAAGAGAAGCAAGTTCATGAGCTTCCTCTTACCCATATCAGGCACTCTATCGTCTGCCGGAATACTAGTGGCCATGGCCGTGACTCTCAACCCCTTTGTCCTCAAGCTGGCGCTCTTCGCGGGTTTCGCCATCACTGCTTGGGGAGTAGCGAAAGCACCATTCTTGATCGAGCATATCTGAAGGGCATAAACTTTAGAAAAATCAAAATTCTAGAACGAAATTAGCGAGAGAGATGGATAGAAGACTACCTGAGCAGTGATGGGTGAAACTGATGAAGAAGCCATGGATTTCTACAGCAGGTTCTTTTTTAGTATGCAAGATTGCAACCTGATCGCGTTTAAGAAAGATGGGTAGAGCACAACCTAGAGGGACAATTGGAAATCACAGTCAATGATTGGATAAGTTAGCTAGTCTCTCTCAGTTGAACCACACAATTGGATCTCATGAAGAGAGAGGAGCCCATTCAATTTCTTTATTTTGTTTAATGGCGGTTACTATCTCTGATTCATAAATTTTTTTACACATTTCTCTGCATAACTCTCCATCACATAATATTCACTATCTTAATTGGTTGTTATTTGTACTGTGGAAGAACCATAAGAGACAGAGGGAATACTTTTTTGTGGTCCACTTTTTATATAAAAAAATATGAATATAGTGATGTATATACACTTTTACAAATAAACACAATTATAAGTAGGTTATATGTTAATTTCTTAAAATGCCAATGTATTTGCGAATACCTTGATCGACATTTAATCGGAGTGTACAAGCGCTTTTAAGAAATAACCTTCTAATGTAAACAAGATTGTTTGTTTAATCTAATTTCTTCATCATCTTCATGTCTACATCTTTGTTGCGCCACACACATGTTTATACTTTATACAAAGGTTCATCACATCTTTGTTATCGCACTACATAAACTTTTGTATACACCATACTTATATAGGCATAGTATTTTAATAAAGATAGTTTTTTAGGTTAACATTGATCTTCATATAAATTCAAAGTTCATATTTGGGGTTAAAATTGATTATGCCCACAGGCCACTTTACCCGACCATTTGCGTGCTTATATGTTTTTTTTTTGAAGTTGTTATTTGTTTCTACCCAGAAGTTCATTTTATTATTGTCAGCAAATGGCGTTCATTATCCTTGTTGATTGTTACTTTGTTACGATGGAGATTGAGATGAAAGTATACATTATGTTAATGGTAAAACTTTAAAATTTGGTGTGGATGAATCTATCAATTACATATCTTTTACAAGGTTAATGAACAATCGTTTGGGTTTAAGTCTCACTTCTAGCATGAGGATGTTGGTTTCGTATGATCTAGGCAGCCCAACATTTAGCATTTTTCATATAAAGCACAACCACGATCTGTATTTATTGGTCCGCCTGATTTATGTGCTAGTTTTTATAAGGGACGAAGGGAGTATGTTTTAAGTACTACCTTCGTCCCTGATTAAAGATTCTGATTGTAAAATGACATGATTATTTAGAAAATAATTAAATAAGATTATTCAAATATGTTTTGAGAAATGATTTTGATAGATAGATATATAATATAATGGGGTCATTAATGATGTTTGTGATGTTATAGATTCATTATTTTTAATATTTGATTATTAAATTGTCATTTAAGAATGTAATTATTTCCTAAAATAGAAATGAGAACACTTATATTGGATGTCCAAAAGGAGGAAGTGTGAACCTTAGAATGAGACAAGAAGAGTATGTAAATAGTGTAAAAGTCAAATTAGTGCAATTAATATGCGGTGCAAGTTTTTTGAAGTATCAATCTTGAGTGAGTCAAAATGACTTATTGTCCGTATATCGGTTATAACGAACGCAGAGTACGAGAAGACAGTGCATGTAATAATGATAGAAAATCAAACTACTAGACCCTTTGTTATTGTAGATTCAACCATTCTTGGTGTACACGTTTTTGTACCCATCAGTACACGCATGTGTCTGTGAGAGTTTTTTTTTGTCTGTGAAGCGCGGTCCACAGACATAAGTTCGTTTGTTTTGTCTGTGGAAAATTTCACAGACAAAACAAACCAGCTTTTGTCTGTGGACCGCACTTCACAGACAAAAAAAAACTCTCACAGACACTTGCGTGTACTGATGGGTACAAAAACGTGTACAAAAGGAATTTTTGTTGTAGATTACTCCACAGTCCACACACATACATAATAGACACAAATTAAACAAAACTAGCTTCTGAATCAAGAACCTTTACCCCTCGCTGCACTCTCCTCAGTATGCTAGCCCGACTCGCCCGACTCACCCGACCCCCCCTCTTCTGCAACTTCTTAATCACATTCTTCCTTTCTAACTTGGAATTGCCACTTCTTGTGGTTTCTAGCTGCTGGTGTGATACCACCTGTGGTGTATGCTTTGTCCCACAAAGATGTCCAAAGTAGTACAAGGGGTTGTTAATGTAAGAAGGGGCAGAAGTAACAATACCTTCAATATTAATTGGAGTTAAAAGTTTCACAAAGTCTTGTATTTCGGGATAACAAGAATGGTCAGAGTATGGAACAGTATATATGTACTGATGGTACCTATCTGGACCAAAAGGATTGGGCTTTCCCTTATTGGTTTTCAATACCCATGGAAGTCCAGATGGCATAATTCCGATGGTGGGGCGTATCGTATTCAGACCTTCTAAAGTCTCTATACTAAAACTGTAACGGGGGACTGCACGGACTCTAGTAAGAGAAGTTTTGGTTGTGAAAATGTCATGGAAACCAAGGAGATGCATGGTTTGCAGGCGTTCCGGCCACACCCATATCTGTAACAAATTTGAAGAAATAACAAATGTGAATTGCTTAATTGACAAGTATTAGTGTGTGTGTGTGTAAGCATACATAAGTCAGGAGTCAGCAGTTAATTTTTTTTGCAGATATGAGGCGTTTGACAAAACAAGCTAATAAGCTACTGCCTCTGTCCCGCTATGATTGTCCCATTTTACCATTTCGGCCCGTCCCACTAAGATTGTCACATACCTTATTTGGTAAAGTTTGTGTGATTCTAAATCATTCCTACTTTATTCTTACATTATCAATTCAATACCAACCACATAAACTCACTTTTATTAATAACCGTGCCACCTTCTCTTGTCCCAAACTTAGGGGGACGGAGGTAGTACTTGATAAGTCAGCTAACTGTTGATAAGAAGAAAGTTGTAACTTATCGCTTATACGGAGTATTTGATAAGCTAGCTGATCTTAGATATGGCGTTTGGTATAAATTACTAATAAGCTAACTTCAATACTCCTTTCATGTCAAAATAACTGTCACATTTGCTTTTTCACATGGTTTAAGATAATTACCGTAGACTTTTCAATTAGACTTCATTAATGTGTATTGTAGCTGCCTTTAGGATATATTTCTTTCCAAAAAGGTAAATGCGACAATTAATTTGATTCAACCCAAAAAGAATACTGGGACAGTTATTTTGATATGGAGGGAGTATATAAAATGACATAAAACTGTGTTTCAAATGGGATCAATAAATATTCTAAAACGAATTGTTTAGCTTTTTTGAAAAGCTACTCCAAGAAGCTTATTAAGTTAGCTCAAAGTTATCAAATAAGTTTCCTAAACCAAACAAAGCTTATTTGAAAAGCTTTCTTGAACAAATCTGATAGCTTTTAATGCCAAACAGAACCTAAAAGGTATGGTGTACCCAGTGCTGTATGAAGTCATGAAGTATAACAAGTCTGAAATATTTTCCAAAACTATATATTTTCTTACTGTAGATCTTTTATGTGAATTTAATCCTTCAGTAGATTTTGGTTTTAAAAGAAACACTCTTTTCTTGTGTATACATGTTTTAGAATAACAGAAAATAAGTACCGATAATAGATGGGATATTTCCCGAAATAGGAGTGTAAAAACATTGTGAAATTCCAAAATATTAGTACTATATTTTTCCCTGAATAGGAGTAAATTATTGTCGTCCTATAATCAAGGTATCATACTGCCATATTTTGGTATTATCAGGCATCATTTTTCGGAGCATGATAGTAATTACTCTTATTTAAGGAGAAAAACATATTACTCATATTTATTAATTTCACATTGTTTTTACTCCTATTTAGAGCAATTTATTACGAAGTATAATAATTTTAGCATCTTGTATAAGCAAAATTTGTCATATATAATGTCACAATCTCTCTCTCTTTCTTTTACGGAGTACTACCTCCGTCCCATTTATATTGGGACGGAAGAGGGTGACACGGTTATTAAGAAAAGTGAGTTCGTGTGGTTGATATTAATTGATAAAGTAAGAATAAAGTAAGAATGATTTAGAGCCACACAAACTTTGCCAAATATGGTATGGGACAATTTAAGTGGGACTTCCCGAAAAGGTAAACCGGGACAATATAAATGGGACGGAGGGAGTATCTTTTATCTTCTTTGTTTTTCTATGTTCTTATGTTATTTTTATCCTATATTTTCTTATGTTCTGTTATCTTTTTAGCTTTTATATTTCTTTTGTTCTTATGTTATTCTTTTTTCTTATATCTATCTTTATCTTATCTATTTTATCTTACTTTATCTTTTTTCTCTCTCTTTTTCTTCCCTTTTTGGCTCTAACATCATGGATCGATTCATGTTAACCGACCCCAAATTCTTTTGGGAATAAGGCTCGGATGTTGTTGTATAATAAGGTTGCAATATATAAAAGTTAGGAGGTAGTTTAATTTCATGAGGATAAAAAGGAAAGAAGTATATCTGATCAGTGAAAAGTGAAAACCTACATACCTTTACCTTAAGTGCACGAGATATGTATACCAAAAGGTTTTCTTTCCCCAGAGAGTCAATAGCAATAACAATGTCATGCTCTGGATAAGAGGCAATGATATTCAACACCTACAGCCACAGAGAAGGTATGAAATAATTTGTGCAAGTATTTGACACGCTCAGAGCTAAATTATTCTCAGAATGTAATGAATATAGTTCAAGGGAAAGAGACCAAATGTAACATCTGTTAACATTCAAAAGAATTTTGTCATTAACTAAACCAACAAATAGACAATTCTACCATTTCCAGTCCATTACTTAAACACTTGTACTAAAAACAACATCATTAAAGTACGCTTACTTTCAAAAATCATTCAATCCACCCAATTAATCGGTTTTTGACCTATAATAGCACGTTTTTATATTAAAAACCCTAAAAAATGTTAAAATTCGACTAAATCTAAATAAAATCTCTGAACAATTTAAGAATGAAAAACTCTATATTTTGGCGTCTTTGAGAATCTCTGAACAATTTAAGAATTTAAGAATTGAGATTACTTGTATATTCTACATCTTTTTAAAAGTTTTAGGTTTTAATTTTATATTTTTACATAATTCACTTTTTCCATTTTCCTGATTTTTTTTAATGTTTTTAATTATATATCTTTTTTTGGGAAAATAAATTAAATGACTTCAAACTTTGAAGGAGTGTGAGATAAGCACCCCAAACTTGCATATGTAATATATAATATATATACCCCAAACTTTATATAAAAAGTTATATTAGTACCATGATCATATTTTTTTCACAAATGTGATTTATGGTGTTAAGTACATAACTTAAAATACACAAAACATTTATGAGGATGCAATTAAAACTAAATTAACCGGATGTAATATTACTTATTTCACCAATGAAATTTTAGAATGTTAACTACATTCTAACAAAGCTCAGAGTATTTTAAATTATGTAATTGTTCCAATAAATTTGTATTTGTAAAAAAACATACAATAATGGTCTGAACATAACTTTTTATATAAAGTTCGGGGTCATATATATTACATATGCAAATTTGGGGTACTTATCGCACACCCCCATTAAAGTTTGGGGTATTTAAAATATTTTCCCATCTTTTTTTCATTTATACGAGTTTTTATATTATTATTACATTACTTTTTCAAATCTATATGAATTTATGGAAGATTTATTAATTATCCTACTTTATTTTTTTCAAAACTAATCCTAGGTCAAAATGGCTTGAGTGATTGTGTTTTCAAAGTAAGCATACTCATATTATACTTTTTTAGTATGGGGCTTTAGGTGATGGATTTGAAATAGTAGAAAGGTCCATTTGACCCTTTCCCCCTCTTTTGTCATCATATGGCACTGAAGATTCAACTTTTTTAGTAATTGCAAACAAATGATTTATCGTCTTAAGCCTCGGACAGTTACTCACAATAGCTACTATAGAAAGTTTTTTTATCTAGTAAAGTTTAACAGATACGGACAGAAGGTGAAGGTAAAATAAAAATTGTAGAACAAGACTTTTATACGGAGTTTAAGTTTACTGATGAGCATCATCATCTTCCAATATCCGTAGAAAATACAAAACAGCTTGTTTGGATATATATCTTTATCTGATCAACAACAAATCAATATCGACCGCTGATCAGTCTAAATGAGAAAAACGTGGTTATTAATTACAGGATGAGTAAAGAGGATGCACCTGCTTAGCAGCCACTTCACGAGAAGGAAAGGTATATGCTGGATTACAATAGGTATTATCTAAGTATAGGTAATCAAGTTTTACATCCTTCAGAGCATTAAGTAGCATTTCCCTTCCTATAAGTGCTCTATCACTTGTTTCTTCCCAACGAAAATCACCAGTGTAAAGCATACATCCAAATTCACCACGAAACAGATACATGACTGCTCCTGAACCAAACAAACAATTATAATAAATTAATAATAACAACAACTACTGCTACAATAATAGTACCCAAGCATGAAACGTAAAATGCAGGAAATAGTATTTTTGAAATTTATAGAATACGGAAACGTGAAGGGAATGTGTAAATATATAAGATAATATAAGGATATTTTCAAAAATATGTCTTTCTAACATATGTATAGGTATTCATAAACATAGGTATACATATGTTATCCGTATATATATGTACTTAATTTTGTGTATGACTTTGCTAAATAATTAATAAATAGTATACATGATCAATACTAATTATGACATACTAATACATAAGTAAATGTAAAATAGTAAAATACAATATTGTTCTCATGACGCACTGCGCTTTGAAAAATCAACAAAGATGATGTTGTTGTGATACAATCCCACAAAAAATCTATAAACAGATTAATTTCCATCATAAAAATATTGAAAACCCAAAGTTTCTAAACTATAATTAATTGCGGAAAACGGGTTTCCTAGTTCTTCTTAATTAAACAAAGAAATGAGAATTTGAAGTTTTTGAGTTTCCGACACCGCTTCTTAGTTTCCAAGGTTGAAAAAGGCTAATTTGGGTATCAAGGCGGTTTGTTCCGGAGAGGTGAGGTGTAAGCGTCAAGGTGTATTGAGGAGTAAGCCTCAAAAATACCAACAAATAAAACTAAAAATAGTTAAACTAAAAGTTTTTTTAAAATAGTTAAACTAGTAATAAACAGCTAAACAAATGAAGATGGTATATGTTCATAAAGTATCAAACACGAACACATATATGAACACAAGGCACTTATCATCATCCAAAAGATTTTCCTCATCATTGGTTTGGGATCTTAAATTAAGGTGTCTATCTTTGAGTCTCTTGTAAAACCTTGACTAGTTTTAGGAAAACATGACCAACAACTCGGTACAAGAAGGAGAAGAAGAAGTGAAGGAGAGAAGATGAAAAAGGAGAAGAGATGTAGATGAGGAGAAGAGAAATTACATGCAAGAATAGAGTGTGTGTAAGAAGTTGTCAACTTCTTTGCGCAGGAGAATGAATTCTTCTTTGTGCAGAAGAAGCATGCAAACATTTTAACGATTAATGAATTCTTTAAATGAAACAAGACTTGCTAGGGGTTTAATTTGAACTATGGACACGTGTTTAATGTATGAGCCTCCTTTTAAATAAAATACATTGGGCTTTTCTTAAGTTACAACCCATTAGAATATATAAATAAAGGAAATCGCGCCTTAGAAAGCGCCTTAAGGCATACACCTCAACTTTTGAGGCGTAAGCCTCTTGAATTGCTAAAAAACCCCAGCCCTGGTACCTTCTCTATAGGCCTCACCTTGAGGCGCGCCTCAAAACCTGCCTTGTAAGTGCCTTTTTAAATCAAGTTAGCTTCTAAAGGCGAAACATGAGCCATGGGAAGTTTCTATGGTCTTAGAGACTAGGCTAGTCTCTTGGAAAAATACTAGAACTATTGTTGGGAAAATAAGAAAACTTCATCAGGAATCCCCAGATTTAGGACAATGTCATTGTGCACACACAACATTACTAATTACAGCACAATATATTGCCTAATGCATTTTTTTAAAAAAACACGAATATTGTATCCTTATTCCTAAACTTATACATAGCTGGGTAAAAAAGGTATCCGCATAGTCATGTAAAAAAGCATCTGCATAGTTTAACTTAACAACATAATTAAACGGGCTCAAAATGACTAAGGATATCTCTCCACTGCTCGACAGAAGCGCTAAGATGCTTCAAACAGAGCTCCCAATCCCCCTTTTATACCCTTTTAATCAATCATATAAACACACAAAAACTTACATATTGTTTTTTGAAATCAAATCCAAAGCACGGTTTTAGGCCATATCCCAAACTTAACTGCCTATTTTTCACGGGTCTTGAGCCGAAGCGTCGAGCACCTTGTGGCCAGACTTGATTGAGCCAAAGTGTCGAGCACTTTGTGGCCACAGTTGATTGAGGCAAAGTGTCGAGCACTTTGTGGCCACGCAAATGGCATGGCAATTAAAGCATTAACAATAATTGACTATTTGACCGCATACCGGGGCAGTGATAAGCGTCGATGGCCAAGAAGTTAACAGTGGAGAAGGAGCTGGATGAAGGGGACACGAGGGAGAGGGAGTACCAGGTGCCGATATCAACGACGCGGAGGAGGGAAAGGTCGAAGCCAGAGAACTTGGAAGGGAAGAGCTTGGCGGAGACGCGGGAGCAGAAGAGCGGGCCCCGCCGCCAAGAGGGAGAGAGGCCCTGGGTGTGGTCGGCGTGGAGGTGGGTGAGGAAGTACGCTTGACTTCCGCTCCCCCACCGGTCAACTGATATCATTCCGCAATCCATCGCTGCTATTGCCGCTCTTCACTGCAACTTCGGCCAACGATTATCCGCATTTCTATTTTGGAGGGAACTTAAAATAGCTCTTTGTACACACTTATGTACACACTATAAAATAGGGCTGTTAACGAGCCGAACCGAGCCCGAACACCCAAAGTTCGAATTCGGCTCGTTAAGGAATAAGGGGTGTTCGGGTTCGAGCTCGAAGCTCGGCGAGCTTTACAAATGAGGCTCGTGTTCGGCTCGATAGGCGTTCGATGTTCGAACCGAGCGCTCGATAAGCTCGATAAATATGCCCGAATTTAAAATTTTAGATGATGCTCGTTAATAGGCTCGTGCTCGAATGGTTCGACAAGTAGTCGGTTCATTAATAATCATATTTAAATTCATAAAACCATACTAATTATATTTAAATTTTGACATATATAAAAATTATATTTAAAATTTTAGGGTGTTCGATAGGCTAGAGTTCGAACCGAGCCGAAAACTACTATGTTCGAGCTCGGCTCGATTAATTTTTCGAACTTAAAACTCAGCTCGAGTTCGAGTTCGAAGCTCGTTAAGCTCGGCTCGTTAGGTTCGAAAACGAGCTCGAGCTCGAATAGTTCGATAAAAGCTCGGTTCGTTAACAGCCCTACTATAAAAGGCTGATATTTTTACCATTTTCTTTTACCCTTTCTCTTCCCACTACTTCTCTCTTCTCCTCTAAACCCTTGCCCCTTCCTATAATCTCAATTTCCCTCTTTTCCCTTACCGCCGGTCCTTGTTTTCTTTTCATTCGTTTTATTTTCTTTCTTCTGCCCAGGTTGCTTTATCATCACCGCCGATAGGTTGCTTTATCATCACCGCCGGTAGGTTGCTTTATCATCATCGCGGGTTACGTTGCTTTATTATCATCGCCGGTTAGGTTGCTTCGTTCTGGAAATTTGCAATTACTGTAACGGTCATTCCGCCTCATAGAGCCAAACCTTGTTGCCCGCACAACTGAGTATCACCGGAGAAATCTCATGGTAAAAAATCTCTTGTATTTCTCTATTATGATTTAGGGATTTAGATATTTTATGTGAAGTGCAATGATTAATGCATTTTCTTTAGATTTTAATTCTATTTTGTATGCTTAATTTATGTTTGTGAAGTTGTTTATTTACCTACTTGCTTTCATTTTCAGGTTGTGATGTTGGTTATTGATTTCATAGTTTTTATAGTTAAGCATTCTATTCTATGTTGAATATTAGAAACATGAATATAATATACTCAGACCATCATGGATAACATTCTTTTATTCTTAATTTTGTGTTATAATGTGATTTTATATTTAATTAAAATTAAATTTCTTTTTTCCAGTTTAGATTATAGTGTTTTGACTATTTTAGTATTTCGCTTAGTTTTGCTTTATTCCAATGGACTGTAAAGTTAACTTTTCTTCTTATGATGGTTTAAATATTACTCTTCTTGAGTTTTTTACAAATTGATTAAATGTGGAATGAGATTAAGTAAATTGGTAAATATATCTCTAACAGGGAGGTCCCTTTCCAGTATGCCTCTGGAAGGGTTCGACTTCGGTTCAATTTTTGGATGTGCTGTGAAATGCAGTGGGATATGTGCAGATCCCGATGGGTGTTGCAGGGTTGTTGTTGCTCAAAGTTGTTTGACTGCAAGTACAAATAGAGGCTGCAAAGCCATATATGTTTCTGAGGGAGCTAGTTGTGTTCTTCTCAGAGATGGGATGACAAGAGCCCCTGTTGTGAGGTTCAAGTCGGCTAGGGGGGCGGCAGATTTGAATTTTTTCTTGGAGGATCGTCTCAATTTTGAGACCTTGATAATGGTTTTAACAAATCGAGCAGATTTGCTGGACTTCAAACCATTAAGTGCTCTATTGTGGGGGAAAATCTTTACATTAGATTTAGCTGCATCACGGGAGATGCAATGGGGATGAATATGGTGTTAAAAGAGTTCAGAATGTACTGGACTTTCTTCTTAATGAGTTCTCAGACATGCATGTTACTGGAATATCAGATTCTAGCAGCACAAATGAGAATAAGGAGGAGTTTCTAATTATGAGAGTAGAAAATGTGCTATACTATGACATACACCTTTCTTTGTTCATATCTTAGAAGTTTTTTGTTATGTGCTTTTATGTTTAATGGGGATTAGACTTTTTTTTCAGTTATATCATGAAATATGTTTAATGTATGACTTTTTTAATTTGTAATTATCAATTGGATATCAAAACAGTTGGCCTGTTTTATTCTTTTTTCTCCTAGATGAAATATCAAGTATGAAATATCCTCTTGTTTCAACTATTTTTATAATTAATTCTTGAAGTCTATCTTGTGCCAAATGGAGGAAACTCCTAAATTTTCATAAGGCATAGTATACATATTTTATAGTATCACTTTTTGTTGTTGTTTTGCTTAAATTGCCTACATCTGTAATTCTGTACCATGTAGTATGAATGTGCAACTGTTATGAATGTCCCTCTAATTTAATATTTCATTTATATAATTTATTACTTGAGATTTAATGAAAATCCTTTTTTATTACTTTTATCTTGTGAGTTTTCTTATACTTTTATGTGTATTTGCTAGATAGAGTTTGTAGTTGGTGCTGGATTTGGCCCAACCCTGGAGTCAAAAGAGAAGCTGCCAACAAAATAAGATTTGCTACTCCTTAACCTCCTGATTTGTGTAGCAAACTGAAGAATACTTGGAGTCCAAAAAAGAGAGTATTGGCTTATCCAGATCTGGCCCAACCCTGGAGTCAAAAGAGAAGCTGCCAACAAAATAAGAGTTGCTACCTCTTAATCTCCTTATTTGTGTAGCAAACTAAAGAATACTCAGACTCCAAAAAAAATAGTATTAGCTTATCCAGAGTTGGGCGTAATGTGAATCGGTCTGAGCATTACTAAATCAAAGCTCGCCCAAGCTCATCCCTCAAAACTTTCCTTTCGTTTCTTGTATTTCTCTAATTGTAGCAAACTTAAAGTGAGCTTTATGATAAATTGTAGTGAGACACTTTATGTAAAAACTATTTCCGACCGTCAATACTTGTATAAACTTGAAAGTTAGTTTTCGTGAATATGTAGTATCGTATTTGGTAATTATATCTAAAATATCCTTATGAGTTGCTTACTTGCTTGGGTGTGGTATGAATGATTATTGTCTGTGTCTAGTTGAAACATTGTTTATATGTTTCTTTATTTTGTTTGTGAGAAGTTGAAGCATCGTCTATATCATTTTCTATATTGTCTATGCATGATAAAAACATTATATGTGTTTCATTTATTTTGTCTGTGTGTAGATAATACTCCATTTATATATCTGTGTGTATGTTTATTTTGTCGGTGCGTAATCGAAAATATGTCTATGTCTTCACTTATTATATATCTGTGTGTATTAAACCATTTTATGTATTTCCATTTATTCTATGGGTACATTTCTTTTGTTTGTGCATAGTCAGGCATCGTCTGTCTTCACTTATATTGTCTGTGAATGATTAAAGTAATGTTTGTTTATCATTTTTTGTCTGTGCATAGATAATAATTTTTTGTGTTCATTTAAATTACACCTTTTGGGGCTAAGGTCTGGGTGTTGTTGTTGTATTTAAACTAGAATTTCCACCCGTGCGTTGCACGGGACATAACGCACAGGACATGTGTATTTAATTAATTTTAATGAGCATTAATATATATGGATACAAAATCAATACACTACTTGTGAAGTCTTAATGATAATAATAATATAACACCAATACCAAATATGTTTGTAAGTAAGGTTTTAATTTATAATAATAGACCCATAAAGAATTCAAATGTGCATAATACAGAGTACCATAAAATGCAATAATATAAGTAAGAATGTTTTCTTTTGGACTGAATTTGTCAGTCTAGTCTGAACTGGTATGGTACATATCTGGTCTATGAGTATTTTATAACTACGGAAGTCTGATCCGATCTGTGATTGAAAACAGTCTAAAAAATCACCCTAAATAATATTCGTATCAATAAACACACACACACACATGGGTATGTAAGAAAATCAATGAAAAACAAATTGGAAGCAGTCTGGAACCAACAAAGCAGTGTGGAACCGGTAGATTCAATACCGACACCGATTATCGAGGAGGGAAACCAGTAGAGAATCAAATTATCCAGAAATCATAACCGGGCCAATCCATTCATATGACACAATACATAATCTAGAATGGTTGTTTGATATGCAAAACTTCACAATATACTTCGTATATTAGAACAAAGAAAGTGAAACATACAATTGTATAGTTGCTGCCATTCATACGTGAGGTTGACGCTTCCTGGTCTAGTTTGTAAGAACATTTACAAAAGGCATTGTAATAACAGTTCACGAAATCTCTATAATATACTTGTAAAAGTTGGCTTAGATTGAATCTAATTATTATCCATTTGTGTTGATTAGTTATACATTGCTGATAAACTCCCTCCATGCTTCTCTATGTACGAAGGGTTACCTCTCCCAAAGCCTGCAAATTAAGAAATGTAAAGCTAGTAAATTGAATACATTTTTCAAATTCTAGACAGTTTCAAGTTTCAACTCAAGATGGATTAGAAATGAATAATGCAGCCTGCAACAGTTCTAGGCAGCTTCAACTTAAAATGAATTGCAGCATATCATATTCTTCCTGAAAAAGTTTATGATGTAAATTATCCTAATAATATGAGAACTGCTTTCATCATCTCATTATCAATGGATTTTAATCTCAATAGTAAATATTCTCAATCTCAACTTTAAAGCTCTTTACCTATTTTACTACGAAAAAAACATCAATTGTATTGAATATGAACTCTATAACGCAGAAGCTTTCACAAATAACAAGTCATATTCAAACCCAACATTTAACTGAATTAAAGTTTTTGAAAAGAACCGCATATGTATGATGAACAATATTTATATAATATCCCAATAACATAAATATAAAATCCATGATAATAAACTAAAATAGTCAAAGAAATTAACACAAAAGGACAATGAGCACATAAATTGTGGATACGAATAGAAAAATCATTGAATCATTTCTACAAACTCCTTTTGTGCATGAAAGTGAAATATAATATTTTGAATTAAAACTTCAATAATAAGCATCACAAATTTATCACAAATCTATAACAATATACCAATGTAATCAAGCATTCAACATTTACATATATGCATAAGATCGAAATAAACAAATATAATCCTAAATGTACAATAAACACAATGAACAAGACATAAAAATACGCAGGTTGAAGTTTACATTGAAAAATGTGGCTGCTCATTGGTATATTCAAAGTAGCCATCTTTATCCCTTCCATGTGCATCAGTTCAAGCCGCAAGAGCGCCATTCATTAGTCTTCAAGCTTCTGCTACCCGAGTGCACTGTTTTGTTGGCTGAGGAATGTGACAGTGAAGGCAGCCGCCGTAAATGAAGAAGAGTGATGGAAATGAACGCGGTGAGGACAGGCAACGATGGGGAAGGGGCAAATTCCATCGTACAGCTGGATGTACGGTGAGCACCGTACAGCCGGCCATTTTTGTAATTAAATTTGGATCGCTGCTACTCACCAACGAAGAACGACAGCCAAAGTCGTCGCTGCAACTTTCTAGGTTCCGATAACATGCTTCCCCATTGCTTACCGCTTCTGCAATTTCACAAATCTTATTCCTTCAAATTCTCGTTTTTCTTCCCGTCCTTTCTAAGTCATCTCACGTAAAAGAAAATTCTCAAACAATCAAATCAAAGGTCACCATCAAACTTTCCACCTCTATGAAATTATATCTGCAAATAATTGAATCTTGATAAGATTTATCTCCACTTCTATAAATTAGGAGCTCTATTCATTCAGATTTGCATTTATACTATGAGAGTCATTAGGAGCTTTTGATTTTTCCGATACTCATTTTGCAAGTTGTGTAAGCTCAATTTTTATCGGTGTTTTGCTCATTATATTTTAACCACATAGTTTTGATACTCAATAGAATAAGTTTCATACTCAATTAAAATTTCTTCATGGTCAAATGAGTATAAAATCGAAAATGAATGAGCATACACAAACAAGCTTTTGAATTTTTTTATACTCATTTCGTAAGTATGTATGCTCATTTGGAATCTCTTTATGTTCATTTTAAAAGGTTGCACATTTCAAACATATCATACCACATTAGAAATGAGTTTTATGTTAAATTCAAATGAGTATAACGTCCAAAATGAATGAACACACAAAAATACGGTTTGATTTTTTTGATACTCATTTTGTAAGTTATGTGTGCTCATTTCGTACTGCTTTATGCTCATTTTAAAAGGTTTCACATTTCAAACATATCATACTACATTAGATTCACATATTGAAATTAATTGGAATTGATTATAGACACAACTTAAGACATTTTGATAAACGAAAAAATAATAAACAGAAAGTGATATATAAGGTATGAAGCAGATATCACTGATGCTCAGCGTTAGACTCCTAATACTCAAAAGAACATGTTTGATACTCATCAAAATTGCATAAATGCGCATTTAAGAGAATCCGCGTTTTTTACAAAAAATTACAAGTTTGACACCGGTTGTACGGTGGTCCCTGTACAGCCGGCTGTACAGTATACGACTCCTAGGAGCTTTGCTAGGTCGGATTAGAGATTTGGGGATGGGAGTGAGAGAAAGAAAAGAAACGACGATGAGAAATGGAAGAGGGAAAAAGAGAGATGCAGGGTAATGGACGGTAAAAAAAGGGAAAGTTCCCGAAATGGGACTAAAAAAGTTCGAAAATTCCAAAATAGGACTTTCATGTTTTTATTCCCAAAATAGGACTAATTACTGCCAAATTTGGAAAATATTGTCATGTTTGAAGTCTGGTACTGCCAAAACATGGCAGTGATTAGTCCTATTTTGGGAATAAAAACATGGAAGTCCTATTTTGGAATTTTCAAACTTTTTTAGTCCCATTTTGGGTAATATCTCTAAAAAAAGGCCTTTATATAGGGTGTACAATTGTTCAAAGTGTGTACAATGAGTGGGTACAACAAGCAATTTTGTTAAAATTAAGTCTGTCCCGTATTGATTTAAGTGTGCAACTTAAATCAAATAAAAAGGATATACGCCCTCTATTTTTAAAGAAATAATGGCATGA